CACGGGGGAGTAGCCTTAAGGGCTCTCGAGCACTCTCGCGAACTGCAAAACTGGCTGGGCCTCTCAAGGACTCTGAAGGACTCTCGAGGACTTTCGAATTGCAAAACTGGTGCACGGTCTGGGCCTCTCGAGGACTCTCGAGGACTTTCGAGAACTCTCGCGAACTGCAAAACTGGTGCACGGTCTGGGCCTCTCGAGGACTCTCGAGGACTCTCAAGGACTTTCGAGAATTCTCGCGAACTGCAAAACTGGTGCACGGTCTGGGCCCTCTCGCCAGCTGCAAAACTGGTGCACGGTCTGGGCCTCTCGAGGCCTACAACAAAGCACAAGCCATGCACTGAAAAACCTCTTCCATCTGCTTCTCTGAACCTAGATCGTGCGCCCGAAATCCTCTTCTAACACCTACACCGTGCCCACACCATGCCCCAAATAATGACTTCCATGGCTTGTCTCGTGCCTCAAAAAGGCCTAAGCCGTGCACCGCTCTGAACCACCACCATGCACTAAATCATGCCTTTCCATGCGCTGCCATCAGCTTGGGAGTCTTAAGCATGCCAGGGGCTATCCAATGCACAAGCATGCCGTAGAAGCAATGAACAAGCAGCTTGAGCTTGGATACTCACATGCCCCAAAAAGAGTCTTCGAAGGCATGGTTGCGTACTGTACTATCCAGCTGCTGCTGTTTGCGCTTCTTCTTGGCAGCTACAAAATCCGGATCATACTTCACAGTCCAAAGCTGGCGGTTACACAAGAAGCTACGGACGCAGTCTTGGGCCTGAGCTTTCGTCATCCCGTCTGCAAGCAACAGAGTCGTGTTGCGCAAGAAGATAGCCTCCGTCACGGCCATCGGCTCCAGCGCCGCGTACTTCTCTTTCACGCTGAACAAAGCAGAGGCAGTCTCGCCTTTCTTGGCCGCATCGTAGACAGACTTCGCGCCCACGACCAGAGCAACCCCAACAAGGGCCGCCGTCCGCCAAGGAACTCGAAGGTCAGGTTAGTGTCCAAGAAGCTCAGCCCACTGCAGGCGACACACCGAAAGGGAGCTCCGGGCGACTCGGCAGCTTTGCAGAACGCCAGGCAACCACGTTCACGGGCGACCTTTCACCCAGCAGGAGAGGTTCGGATTCACCAAGCCGACGATGTAGCCACCAGTAGACGACAAGTCAGGCCTGTTTCCGACCGCCGCGTCGGTCCACGCCACCATCACCAGCTCGTGAAGGGACTGGGGCTCCAGGTTCTGCACAGAGACGGACACCTCTCGTTGGGCAAAGACTTCTCGACACAGCTTGTTGACGCCACGCAAGACATCCTTTCCTCCTTGCGGAAGGGCTGACTGGAGCCACGAGAGCTTCGCAGCATGCTGGGGAGCGGTTTGCTGAACGCGCCATTGTACGGCGCCCAGCAACGCCCTGGCCTGGGCTCTTTCGCCATCAGTAATGGCAGGCTGATCCTCAATATCGATCTGCTTCAGCTGCAGGCAGTAGTCCGCCTGAGAGAGAGCAAAGCTGTAGTCCGGCAACTGATCGACGAGCACACCGCAGTGCGTGAATGGAGTGCACTCCCACGGCGACCACTCAAAAGCAGCACCAAACTCGATAACACGTTGCCAGGCAGGGCTGCTCTCGTTACCCAGCAGCAGGAAGTCATCGGTCAGTCTTCAGTTGGCGAAGTCCGATCCGGCTCAGTACCTCACACACTTCGAGGTACCAGCTTCTCGGAGCAGAAGCTAACCCGTACGCTGCCTTGACTCGCACGGCCTGCCCTGGAGCGATCGCTAAGGCTTGAGAAAGCTCCGGGACCGGAACGAGAGCCTTGCAAGAAGGCACTTTTGGCGTCTGCCTCCCTGAGGCGCCAATGCTGATGCGTACACAGACTCAGGAGTAGTTGTCGAGATCTGCGAGTCATAGTGGGAGATGATGTCTGAAGCTCAAGGAGGTCGGGATCACTGTACCCGAGTAACACCAACCGCGCTTTCGCTTTCATCTTGGAAGGGCTCTGATCGAGACCTTTGAAGGTCAAAACCCACCTCATTTTCATGAGGCGGGAAGCCGGAACCACCCCTCTGTGTTTCTCGCAGACAAGCTCTTTAAAACAGGCTTCTATCTCGAGGTTCTTTGCAGCTGCCATTGCCTTCTTTTGCTTTTCGGAAAGCTTCGCCCACGAGACTTCGGCACCTTTATGAAGGCTTTTGGCGGTGAACTTTGCCGGGTTCTTGAGGATTTGTTTCCATTCCTGTCCCGACGATGGCATATCCAGTTCGATGCCGAAGGCAAAGTCGTTGTGGAGGTCGTTGCACCAACCCACAAGGTCCGCCATCTCGCTGTTGTCCACGTACATGGTTCTCGTTCCACAAGTCAAACGAGCGTCTCCTTCTCGGGGCAAAGAGCCAGCCACGCTCCTCATTGGCTCGTCCAGCAGGTCAAGAAGAACTGGACTGCGGCTTCTCTCTTCCGAAGCTTGCCCGGCAGGATCTGACGCGGCCGATGACTTTGGAAGTCTAGCAGCACCGAGCTCTTCACCACGAGGTTCTCCAGAAGGTCTAGGAACTGGAGCTGGTTGGCGTAGAGAAGCACTAGAAGCTTCACCACGAGGTTCTCCAGGAGGTCTAGGAACTGGAGGTGGTTGCCAGAGAGCAGGTAGGAACGGAACGAGCTCAACTCCAGCTCCTGCCTCGGTTCAGGGTCCTTGTTCCGGAAGCCGAACGTCCACGAACCTCCTCGTTGGTGTAGTCGTCGTAAGTGCCTTTCTCCAGAAGACCAACCACAGTTGTAAACGTCCAGGGCAAAGTGAGCGCAGTGTTGGCGTTCGCGATGTCTTTCTCGGTCTCGCTTGCGTGGCGAAGTTGACCGCCACGCACCTTCCTCAGTCTCCCTTGACAGACTATCCAAACCACCCGTGTTGGGGTCCGGATCGTGCCGTGCTCCATGACCTTCGTCTCCACCGCCAGGACACGTCCAGGGCCATACCATCGGCATACACGGAGACGTGGCACGTCCACAACTTCATGAGCAGGTCGGTCTGCAGGAACCTTGTAGCGCTGGTAGTACACGAGGTCGCCCGGCACAAAGTTTGTCGCAGGAACCGATCGGGTGTTCAGCGCCCGCGAGATCTTATCCTTCGCCTTCATCTCCTTGTAGGCTTTGCTCAGCTCGAAGTCGCAAAGCCAAGTTCTGCTCCATCGTGTGCCCAGTCTCGCCCATGGCGCTCAAGGCTGGCAGGTTGTCCAGCTCTTCAGTGAACTTCCCAAACGCCCACTGACATGGAGCATATCCTCCAACTCTGGCATTATTGTTGTGAGCTGCCGTCATAGCATAGGCGGCTCGCCTTGGGGAAACGACCTCGTTCCTCAGGAACTTTTCCATGCGCAACCTCAGCACTCCGATGCCTCTTTCCACATCGCCAGTACTTTCGCGATGCTCAGCTGGAACTTGTTGGAGGTCGATGCCCCTTCAAGCGGTGTAGTCCTCGAGGCCACGGCCGCGAAAGCAGTCTCCAGGTCACAACGAAGTCTCTGGAAATACCCCAAGTACTGGACCCAAGCCTGCTCCAAGGCATCAATCGCCTCTTCGGTGTTAATGTTGGCGCCCTCCTCGGCGTCATGAGCGAGGATCTCGGAAACCACCGCAAAGGAGGAGGCCTCGTCCATGAAGAGGATGAAGTGGTGTACCTGCCCTTCATGTCGGAAGTAGAAAGCATCCATCTGGACAGTGCGCCATAGAACCTCTTCTTTCTCCAGAGACACTTGTGGCACAGGAGCTTTCATCTGACTTTCTTGGCATTCCGGGGCACTTGGGCTGCGAAGCCACTGCCAGAGTGCGAGCATCGGAACCACGGGCGTTTAAGGTCTTGAGAAAGGCCTGCCGTCCAGGATGTCCACAGCGCCGGTGCAACTTCAACAAAGTCACTTTCAAGCTCGCCCTCTGTCATAGTCTCCAGGCAGGAGAGGCCAACATTCACGTCGGACATGCCAAACACCACGCCAGGCAAGGGAGCTTCCAACAAACACTTGGCCACAGCCCGGCAGAACTCTGCAGTGTAAAGGGCCGTCTTCCGAAGATCCGGGGTTCCAACCACCACAGAGTGCACATGATGTCCACTGTCTGGCCATGGGCCGAAGAATGCCCCTCATCGTGCTCCTCAGCCTCCATGGCTTCTTGATGGGGACGCCGGCTGCGTTCAGCCCAAACTGGCAGCCATGAAGGATCACCTCATCGGACTTCCAAGCAGCATTGTGTTGTGGCCATTCCCACACGACATGGCCGCCCTCTTTAACATAGTCCTTGAGGATGAGGAGCCCGTGTCGCACAAGACGTCGGGAGCGCTTCTTCTGCCCCAAGCTCTTCACCAGCTTGCCTCGTCCAACTCGTTCAGGGCCTGTGTTGGAGAAGTAGCCCCGCACGGAAACGACACCCAAATCACCTTGGGCTTGTGCTCCTGGATCAGGGAGCGGAGAGCTTGCCGCCCTTCCCAGAGAGCCCAATATTGCT